ATGTCTGTCTCTTATACACATCTAGATGTGTATAAGAGACAGGGGTGGGTGGGTGGCTACTGCTTTTCGCAAAGTGAAGTCAGTTCCTGCCTTGCTTGAGTTTCAAGTTTGCCCGTAAAACACGCCTACTTAGTTTAGTACTGTACCATGATGGAGTGGAGGAGTACAAAGCACCAAGTCATGTGTACTCGAAGGCAAGCATCAATAATATAGTATTGATTTTCGCCCGCCAGGGGGGGGGACTTAGGTATGGCCCCTTGCCGGGGGGGATCGACCCGTGTGGGGACGTACCCTGCGGGTACGTACGTAGTTGCAGTACAAGCCTGAGGTCCCGTCGGGCTGCCGTCGATCCGTCCGTCATCCTTGCTGACGGTTGGACCGCACAGGACAGGGGTCCACGGGTCGCGGGGTCTTCCCACCCTCGGGTGGCCCTATCAGCGACAGCCACTGCGTACCGATACCTGCGCCGAGCCGCCATCGCTCCCGCACAGTGCAGCCGCCGCCGTCTGGCGCAAGTTCCGGTACCTCTGGCACCTGTGTCTCTCTCTCTCTCTCTCTCTCTCTCTCTCCCCTCCACGACGACGACGACGACGACAACGACGACTACGACGACGGTACCTTGGATACCCCAGTGCAGCGCCGTAGGTAATAGAACCTATTTCCTCTTCGTTCCCGGGGAGGGAGGGCAAGGCGCCGCCGACCAGGTCGGTCCACGCGACCAGCGACGTGCTTCGTACCTTACTTACCGAGTAGCTACGAATACCTCAGGGACCCATTGAACTCAAGGTTGGCGGCCGCCTCAGGTCCGCCTCCAAGCATCATTAACGCGTCGCAGCCGCAAGCCGCCCCTTCCATCTTGCTGAACAACCCAGGCGCCGCATCCCGGACCTGTCCGCACCACCCGACAATGCTCGGCCGGTGCCTCAGACTTGCCTCCCCGTCCACACGGCCTCACGTCGAGCCTGCCGATGTGGCCCTGCCCTCAGTTGAGGCGCCTGCCATGTTTGCCGAGAGCCCTGACGGGGCGGGTGCCACATCCACCGGTAACGGCGCCCGTCGGGACTGCCTTGTTGCCTGCCTACCTACTCGAGCAGGTTCGAAAACTCAAGTTGGCTTTGCATAAGATCTAACTTAGTACTTGACAAACCGAGTGCCCACCTATTAGGCCTGCCTGTATGTACGAAGTAAGGCAGTACTTACCTATCCTCGTACGTACGCGACCGACGCTGTTGTTGAAACAACCTACGACATCCAACGCCGCAGCCAACCGCCGCACGAGCAACAAACTTCAGGTTTGTGCGTCTCGCGCCTGGTGCCTTTTTCTTCTTGGCACAAAGTATAGGCCCCTCTCCCCGCCCCGGCACTCGCCCATCTGCGCCGGCCTGCCTGCTCCCTGCGAGCCGCCGTCTTGGTGCAGCAACCCCGCTCGCTCATGGACCGGGCTGGGCAATCGGCCCGTCCAACACCCCAACGTGCATATGTCGACTCGGCGTCGCAAACAATCCCCCCAATACACGCCCTACACTGACCAACTCTCTGGGAAGCTGTGCCCTGCAAGCCGGCAAGCCAGCCCTCGAGATCCTGCCCCCTGCTCGCACCAAGAACGGCCTTGGCGTCCCGGCCACGTGAAGCGCAGCCACTTGGCTGGCCCAAACAATGCAGGAGCCGCGGGACAAGTGAGCTGTTCCGCTGTATGGGGGTGTCCCACCAAAGCGCAACGGCAGCCGCCAACGGGGAGATGTACGAAGTAGCCTCTGTCCTCAACGTCCAGGTCTCGTACAACGGACAAGGCCTCTGCAACCCCATGGCAGGCGTGCTACGCCTGTGAGGAAACGGTGGCTGCGCAGAGCTCAGTCCGAAAAGTCTGCACCTCCAGGCTTCGGCTGTGCAGCCGCCACAGCGCCTTGCAACCCAGTTGGGTTCAGGCGGCCGTGTCAGACCTGCAAGTCTTGACCATCCGCAGCAGGACTTGGGATGATTTTGACTTTGAAGGCAAGCCAGCCTGTGGATCCGCGGTGGAGGTTTGCGGCCCTTGCCGTCCCGACTCCCGATCCCGCCCATCTGCCGAGTGACTTGGTACCTACATTATGTACTTACGTACTTACTGCTTAGAGTTTTCCCATCTACGGTAGGCGGGGATTTACCACTTGCGCCGTCGAGTCAGGTACATAACCTTAAAGAGCGAGGGCGCTCAAGGTACCTCGAGGCTGCCTCACCCTCGTAGCTCCAGCATGTTCCTTCTCCCCACCCAAGGAGTACCTCGGCAAGTAACTGGAACTGCTCGAGACGACTTCGCATGAGGTAGTTCACTGGTCACTGACCTCCGTCGCGACAGCCGGACTTGCCCGAGTGCCTTTGACGCCACACCGTTCCAGCGATGGGCGGCGATGGCTTGGTCGCGGAAAAGTGCATATCGTATGCCTGCCTCCCTCGACTTACACGAGGTCATGTCGGTGCCGACCTGCGTAGTCCAGCGTGGCGCGCCCCAGCCTCTTCCTTGAATCAAGGGCCGATGCTGTCCGATTCGACAGCCACCTGCTTGCATCCTCAGTGCCATCATAGGCCGGCCCACCTTGCCTGCCCGCTTACTCACTCATCTCGAGGCAAAACCAGTCTTGTTTTTGGTGTGAGCATCACACACCCAAATTTAAACTTCTTGGGGACGCCGTGTTTCTCCAGAGCCGCCGTTCCCGGCGTGGTTTTGTCCCTGCCATCCTGGGATTGAAGTTTGTGCGGTCATGTCCGGCTGGCGGTCATGGGTCTTGTGGGATGAGGACAAAGGCTGCCAGGTCCCCCCTCGCGGCACGCGAAGATCCGGGCCTGAGGCTTGAGGTAGTCTAACGAGCCAGCCATTGCCGACACAGCATGGTTTTCGCAAATGTGAGAACAATTGATCCTTACCTCGAGTCGCGGCGCTGTGTGCACCCGTCCTAGGCTTCTGTATAGCTATGATCGGCAGGGGCTACCGGGTCTGCTTGCACGAGGCCCTTGGCCCGGTCGGCGTTACGCAAGACGCTGGAACGCCTTCTCCTCCGCTCCCTTTCCAAGTGCCGTCAGGGATTTTCGGAACAAGGTGCGAGGATTTGCTCCCAAGCGAAGCCAAACCCAGCCACACTTTGTTTCCTGGACATCATATCACAAGGGACTAGCTTGGGGCTTAATTCGTCTCTTGTAAACGCAGCAGCCGGGCCGGCCATCGTCAGTCATAGTCATTGTCGTCGTCATCACCCGAAGCGGACAACCTCACAATTGCCTCTCCCCCCCCTCTCAGACAGCCGACAGTCCACAGCGTCTCGCATCGGGTACCTGCATCGTCACCATCTCCAGGTCAGAGATATATGTCACCCCCGACCCCGTCGACCCACCGCCGCCAAGCCTCCTCGTAAGCAGACTCAACGTCATCTACCCAGCGCCGAGTGTTGAACAATCCGCAGCGCCACTTGCTATCCCAAAGTAGCTTCCGAAGCTCTGCTAGTCTGCCGCCGCCGTCACAGTAGCCAGCCTCCCCCGGCTCCCCGTACGAGAGTCCGCTGGCAAGAGCCACCGCTGCCTGTTCGTATCCAGTCTCGCTCTCGGCAATCAGTTCGCCTGCCGCGCGTTGTCCGTCGGCTGTCCTGGGCAATGCACCGCGCAGGATTGAAGCCGCCATGCGGGAGCACATCTTGTACGGGTACCGTGGGAGCGTCAGCAACGGTGTGCTGGACCAGAGAACATCCGCTGCCGTGGTATGGGCGTTGCACTCCGGCGTGTCTAAGAAGAGATCGCACACCCTGGCGCGAGCGATATGCTGGCTCTTGGGTGCAACGTCGGTGAATATCAGACGACTCGCCACGTCCGGCCCAGCCCATGCCCTCGCCGTCGCTCGCAAATTGCCCTCGCCTGGCTCCGGAAACCGGAGGAGCCAGAGGACAGCCTTTGGCACACGAGCGAGGATCCGCAGCCAAGATCGGAAAGTCGTAGGTTCGATCTGGTCCAGAACTTTAGCAAGACGCATCCTTCTGCTTGGCAACGGGGGCTGCTTACCTTGTATAGCTGGTTGAAGTTGCCGAGGATGACCACATCGTCCGCCATGTCGGGAAAAAGCTGCTTCCGCATGGCCCATCGGCGTTGCTTCTCATCCTCCCAAGACATGCCCCTCTCGCCACTGTCGCAGGACTGGGCGTGGTCGCAGCAAAAGAACGTATCACGGCAGAAAATGATATTTTCCGCATACACCCAGTCGCCCTCACTGCTCTCTGACTCGTCCCGTGTGATGTCCTCGATGTCGACATTGCGGCGCCACGGCCGGAGCGTACTCGGGGGTATTGCTGTCGTGTCGGCGAGGATGTAGTCGCACCACTCCGCCCCAAGACTGCCAGCGAAGCCCATGAAGGACATCTGAATTGGAGCAGGCCTAGCAGCAAAGATGTCATTCCTTGCACCCCGCGTATAGCCGTTGAGATTGACCAAGATGTGAATACCGTCTCGGACAATCTGCTCAATCAGCTTCTCCGGCGCCCAGGCGCTGACGTCTCGGAACACTGGCGCCTCTCTTTCTATTTGCTGTCTGTGAATGGAGCTATCGCTTGGGGTTGTCGCGTAGCAAAAAGCCCTGGCTCGAGTTGGGTTATGGAAACCAAATACGGACTGCATCCTGAAGACATGTACTGTTAGTATACGGAGTCGCCATCTCGGCCGAGCCCAGGCCTTTCTAGCAAGGACAAGCGAGGAAAGTAACTTGGGCGTGCAGTTGGGTCGCTTACAAGTGAGCAAGCGGATGGTTGTTGAAATCCGACGAGATATATCCAATATTCAGGTGAGGATCGGGCGGACGCGGCGGCGGGTAGACCGAGGAGGGAAGCCACGGCGCCCGCAGAGTAGAACAAGATATGCGCATGGCATTGCGCTGGGAGATCGCCCGAATGTCGCTGGCAGTCAAGGGGCATGTGAATGTGTGGAAGGGGAGGACGGTCGGGGCCGAGGGAACCGTCAGGCTTGGGGGAAGACGCGGCCGAGGATATGATGATCTGACCTCTCGCTTGGCGATGTAGCGGTCCAGGTACCACTCGCGGAGTATCACCCGCGTGGAACGCTCAATGAGTCGCACGACACGGGATCCCTCCCAGGGACGGTCCGCCCATGAGCTCAAGGCCACCCGCAGCTTGAACGTAGGATCGCTGCAGTGGCGCTGAAGCTCGCTTGCCAGAGCAGAGGCGGCGGACCCCTGAAGTGTGTGCCTACCCCAGCACGCCGAGTCCCTGAGTTGTTGCTTCACGATGTCAACAACCCGTTTCGTCAAGCCAAACCCTCGGCCGCCTGCGCTAGCAGCAAGCAGTTTCCCCTCGTCGTCGACATGCCAACGGTCGTACTTTCCGCCATCCAGGATGACACCGCCGCGACCGCGCCAGTTGCAGACAGAATTCAAGGCTGTCAAAAGGCCACAAACAGCCTCTGCGAAATTTGGGTTGGACGCCACCGCTCTCCTGTAATACGCGATTGCGTCATTGATGCGGCCCTTGTCCTTGACAGCATTTGCGAGGTTTGTCAAGGCAATGTCAAACGTCCCGTCACAAGACACGGCGCGCTCGTACATCTGTATGGCGAGATCCAACTGACCAATGTCCTTCAACAGGCTTCCCAGGTTGGTGTGCAGATGGACATGCTTTGGATCCAAACGGAGCCCGTAGTTGTAGTATGCCAGGGCAAGAGCCATGCCACTTCCCGGACTGATCCCCGGCAGCCCTGGAAGTGAGTGCTCTCTGGTCGACGCTCTTGAGGAAGGCACTGCAACCTGCTGGACGCCCGCAAGCAGGATTCCGACATTATTGGCGGTCGAAGGGCTCTCTTGAAGGGAGAGCGAGAGATAGTACAGCGCCAAGATATCGCCAACACTGGAAGACCTCCGAAGAATGCCTGGAACTGCGCTGCCGCTCGACATGGCGTCCTGGAAGATCTTAGCGAGGGAGAGCAGCGAATTGCTTGTTGTCTGCACCGCAGCGCGTCGGGCAGGTCCATTTCGCATCAATGCCAGTCCGGGTAACTCGCCACCTCCAGAAAACACGAGCTGCGCCGTGTGCCGGGCCCGTTCCGGTGGCAGCATCAGTGGACGGAGTGATTGGTCGACTTGTCTTGCAGTCAGTGAGCCGCCTGCGCCTGACGACAGAGAGGACTGCACTCTTCGTATCAGATCTTGGATGCCGCTCAGGTTCCTGCCCGCGCTGATCAACACAGCTTCCTCGAATGCCTCGGCGGCCTTTTCGACGTCCTTGAGGCTGTATAGCATCGTGCCCTTGGCATGAACCAGTGCAAGAATGCGTCCATTCTCGGCACCCGGCAACGCATATCCGCTGGACCCATAGCCTTGGCCCCATGAGCTAGCCTTGTCGCCGGCTCTGGGCGAAACCAGCCTCAGGGCGCGTTGCACGTGAGTTATGATCTCCACAGCCTCCTCGCTACGTTTCTTGTACAGCAGCCCGACTAAATGCTCGGTGGCCTCCAAGTAACTGGGACGCAACTCCACCGCTTTCAGCCAGTGCCTTTCTGCCTCGTCTTGCCTGTTGAGGCAGTACAGCGTGGCGGCGGTGTTTGTAATGGCTTCAACGTGACTGCGAGAGCTGGAGTTAGGTAATTGTCCAAAGACCGCTCAAGAACAAACGATTCGAGATGGGCCGGTTCAAACAAACCTTGGATTTGTGGCAATGATTCGTGAGAACCACGCCAGTGCCTCCTCATACCGCTCCAAGCCATAGTGGAGGCAGCCGCCGAGCAGCATGCCATCTAGCCATTTCCAACCACTCTGTTCACACAAGCTCTCAAGGACCTCTGCTGACGCTCTGGCGTTCTCCGCTGGTGATGCCCTGGTGAAGGCAGGATAGTACGCCGCTGGGTTCTGGTGCCCAGGGAGGAACAACCGCGTTCCATCAGCAAGATCGACGTTAGAGGGGATCCCGCCCTGCCCGCCCGATGGGTTTGATCCAGAGTCAGGTTGTAGCGTTGGTGTGAGGTGGTCCCCAGGCGTGCTGCTACCGGCGATACTATCCGAAGTAGGAAACGCGTGTGGACTGGCGGTGGTGCCGCTCAACCGATGATTCCAGGACGAGCTGATGACCGGTTTCCTGGGCCTTGGATACACAGAGAACCTGTGTGGGGCACCGTGGCCAGAAGTCGTTTTCAGAGGATTCGCCCGTCCACTCGCCTGGAGGAATGCCAGCAGATCCACGTAGCTTTGGTGTGCATGCGATAGTGCCTTCTCTTTGAACCCAGGGGCATGATCTGGAGCTGCACTGGGCGGTGGTCGCGCCACAAATGGCGTCTGGTTGGCGTTCCAAGACCTGGAGTCATAGACGATGGGTTCGGACCCACGATGAGGGTTGCCGGGACCAGCCCAACAGCCCGGGGCCGAGTGACCTGTCAAGTCGTAGAGTACGGGTCGTCCATCAGAGACAAGTTCTGACGGCCCATGGCTAAGCGTCATGGCTTGGGACTGGTCGAAGCCCCGGTAGACCCAAGGTGATGATCCAGGCTGCCACGCTATATGACCAAAAGGAAATGACCCGTTTATAGGAAATGGAGGAGGGCATATGGCTCGGACGTTGTACTCGTTTGCTCTTAAAACAGGCTGTTGCACGTCCATACCGAATTGCGCTGGAATGTGATTGAGGCTGAGTTGCGTGGGCAGATGATCCATCCCTTGAACCTGCGAGAAAGCGAACTGTGCTTGCGGGATGTTCATGGGCCACGGCGGAATGGTTGGATCATGCTCATGAGCACGCGGCACATGTGCTGCAGTCCAGGCCTGCCGGGAAGTATATTGTCCGGCCTCAGCTGAGGCTTGTTGTCGTGCAGTCCCGGTGACGGGCAGTATCATGTGTTTGAATGGAGGCGGTCCAGGCACCGGGGGCACCAGGGAGCCATCATACGCCGCGTCGACGGTGCCACTCGGTGTCTTCCTCCGAAGCTTGTACTCTGGAAGCTGCAGGGCGGCAAGCGGCTTGGCGCTCTGATGGTCGTGCGGGTAGGGGTGCAGATGCGGCTGCATTATTCGGATAGGAAAGGAGCGTCGGTGTGGCGGTGCAACACCCCCAAGGGGACGTAGGTCGTGTTCGTGGGCATCGTGGTCACGTATGGGAATTGTCCCGGAGAAGGCATCGAAGGCTGGGGGCGGCGGTTCCGGGAGAGAATGCATCTGAAGCGCAGCAGGCAACATGTCTAAAGGCAGCAGGTAAAAAGGTTATGGCGGAGAACGGTCGGCGAGGAGGGATGCAGGCGGCAGAGACAAGCTGAGAGGTCAGCAACCACTCTTTGCCTACCGCTCAACGCATGGCCATGGACGGGGGAGGGGCGGCAGGCATTTGGAGCCAGAGGGCTACGCCAATCTGCGTGTGAGGCGCCTGCTGAAGCCGACGTTCAGCCTTCACTGCCGGTGACTCTCAGCGAAGGATCAGGCTGGCCGGTCTGTCGTGCCCCGGAACACGACTCCGTGCAGGAGCTGAGGTCGCGGCGACACCAAGTCCTAGCTGGGCTCCTGATATTGCAGCCGCAGCCGGCGTGCAGTCTTGCCGTCTGTTTTCGCGGGGCTGGGCGAGGCCTTGTCTCCCGACGGCGGATGTTCCTCAAAGCTTTGTGACACCGACGGCGATGGGCTGGCGGGTGATGACGACAGCGGGAGCAGCGTTCGGCGATCCGGCGACAGACGAGATGAAAATCGTGGGCGGCTAAGGGAGCACCCGTTGCTTCGGGAGGCTGAAGTTGATGAGGGTAGTCGTCGGGTGGTCCGGGTACCGATGGCGATTGTGTGAAGCTGATTGTCGTCGACGAGGCACGTACGTTGGCTGCTGGGATAGGCCGAGCGAGCTTCAGTGGATGACACTTCAGCCAACGGTCCCCAACGCGTCTGGCGGCACTGGGGTAGGTACTCTATATGTACCTGGGCGCAACTTGAGATTTGATTGCTTATGGTGTGGATAGAGGCTTGGCGTGCAGTACTCTCTTAGTACTGTTCAGGTACATACGGGGGCTCCTCAGCCAGACAGAGCTCCCGCGCGAAGGTAAAGAGGTGGCAGCAGGGGCTATATTCTACCACCGAAGAGGCCTTGCCTAACATCACCTCTCCAAGCAGGCGCTTTCCAGGGTGCGGTGCTAGTACATAATACAAGCTACCTACCTAGTAGTACTGTCCGTCTGTCATTACCGAGGCATTTCAAAGCAAGTAGCGCCCAGTCGCATGAGCACCGAGTCTCAAGCCGTTAGTCGTCATTCTTGAGCGGCGACACGTGGGTCGCCTGTCATCCACCTGTGACACTTGCCTCCGTGGCCGGAGTACCAAGTTACTGGCAGGGTATGAGGTAGTAGACAATTCCAAGACGCCCGATGGATCCTGGAAAAGATGTGGTCACGGTCGCAGCAATCATCCCTTCATCACTGCTCCAGGACATGAGAGTGCTCAGCTGCTACAGAATCCCTTTTTCGCATTAATATGAAGACAGAAAGAACTACTGTGTGAGAGCTGAAGACAGATCTATATCTAAATACGTCCACTCAGCCCAGAAGAGGGCCGAAGCCTCGTACAAGCACACACGCAAGCGCGAGACTAGTCTTCGCCCGCAACCACATATGCATGCGCCATTGGGCTGATAGGCCACCAACGCGGCCGCGCATGGCCACGGAGCACACAAGATCAGGAGCATTGCAGTAGAGACAAGAGATCGCATGTGGGCTAGGTTAATGGACCCCTACACCCACGGGCATCAGTGCCAGAGTGTTGGGGTGAGTATCGAGCCTTCAAGTATTCTTCCTTGAACAAAAATTGAAAAATACCATTGCGGAGATGGGTATATTTCAGAGTGTAGCCAAGGGCGTTCAGTGCTGCTCACCAGCAGTGGAACATCGGAGCGCGATAATGTGTTGATGGGAATACTATGTTCCGCAGAACGAAGTCATCACGATGCGAACAGACGAGCAGGCACGCAAGCCCCACGGGGTTGGTATTTCGGTTCCTCAAGGAAGGCATCTACCCTTGCAGTATATGCCTAAAGCTGCCACCTTTTAGTGCTCGCGGGTCTGTGAAGACAGCTTTACGCTCGTCTATTCCTCCGGGACTGCAGCGATGCGTTAGCTGGGACACAAATGACGGGACAGATCAACTCTGGGACATGTTTCTTCTTACTGTCAATGTCTCCGCTGTCGATGCCCTCAATGATGACCTTGGGCGCCTTGCCGTCGACCTGGCAACCGACACTGTAAGCGGTGCCGAGGATCTCCTTCACGGTGCCCTTGAGCTCCTTGGAAAAGGACTTGTAGCGCATGGTGCGGGCAATCTCGATGATCTCGTCGAGGCTGACAGACTTGTTGTGCTTGATGTTCTTCTCCTTCTTCCGGTCGCGAGGGGGCTCCTTCAGCGCCTTGATGATAAGGGAGGAAGCAGTCGGGACGACAGAGACAGCCGCCTGACGGTTCTGGATGGTGAGCTTGACGGTCACGCGCAAGCCTTTCTGTATCTTGTTGTCAGAGACCGCCTCAGATGCGATTTCTCCTCTGGTTGTGCTTACCCAGTCGCCAGTAGCCTTCGCGATGTCCTCACCAACCTTCTTGGGCGACAAACCCAGAGGGCCGATCTTGGGAGCGAGAGCCGAAGAGGCACCCACCTCACCGCCAGTGGCACGGAGGTGGCTAAGGACGTGTGTCAGCTGGACAGAACAGAGCTGGGATCGGCTTCTGGAATACCAACATGATCTTGATCTCGTTGGGGTCGAACTTGGGAGCTGAAGGCAAAGGTCAGCGTCGCGCCCTAGACAAAAGGAGTCACGGAATATGGTGTCTTACGCATATTGTCGGTGTTGGAGGTGGCAGAGGCTCGTGGTTTGCTTGCCAGAGAAGTGCTTGGAGAAATGTAGAAGTTGAAATCTATGTCAGAGTCCGGCAAGTCCAAGCCCACCACCAGAAAATCTTGTGTGTGCCCCAGTTCACTGCCCTAACAGGCCATCAAGTGGAGCTGGAAATTGGCCAATCAACCTGGTGTCGTGGTGGCCCCGTGTGCCACGGCAGTGTAGTCACGTGCTAGGTCTGCCGATTGCCCTGCCCGTTGATCTTCGTCAAGCAGAGTCAGTCTCCACTCCGAAGTCCACCCCAGAATAGCCAGCCGCGCAGGGGAGGACGACCAGACACAGAGCCGAATGCAATACGTGCTACAATTCAAGCCTGTTCCATGAATACCTTTGTTAAGCAGCGATGCAACCGTACCTGCGAGTATGCTGCGCCACCAACACTTGTGAGTATCACGTGTGCCGGATTGCAATCGTGACCATTTATTTTGCTATACACGACGTGATACACGTTGGGCGCCAGACGACCATGGTCCATAGGGCCCAGGCGGCAGTGGTATCCACGCACACTACGCCCTTCTCAAGAGAGCTGTGCACATGTTCCCAGTCGGCAGACCTCGTTTCCCAGTCCAGTCGCCATGCAACGCTACTATACTCGAAATAGTCCCCGTGTCCGCCATAAACTCCAAATAGGCGGTCCAGATGGGGCCGAGTGTGTAAGCGTTCAGTTCGTACCACTCACAGCAAGCCTGCAGACGCGCTTCGAGTCAGCAGGGGTCGATCAAACGAATACAAGACCGGGTCAGGGAATGGGCATACTTCATCAAATGGTCCATGAAGGTCTGCAGCGAAACATCGTCTGTGAAGATGGTCTGGGCGGACGTCGCTCCAGTGCCGCCGTACGGGCCTGTCGTGTGGGTCGTAGATGGATTCAGCTTGGACAGCAGGAACCGGGCTTGAGAGCCGCCAGCATCGCATACGACAAAGCGAGGCAGCGGGAAGCGGTCCGTAATGAGATCCTGTATCCCGTCAGTGTCGTTCAATGGAAGAGCTGTCTTGGGACCATACCCTGGCATCTTCCTTCGGTTGCTCCAACAACGCCGCAAAATTCTCGTAGCCTTCCTGATCCTGATATCCGGCCTTACGCCATTCGGCAATCGTCTCACCGTGAAAGATGAGAATATGGAAGAAGGTGTCTAACAGCAGAATGTGGGTTGGCTGGATGGAAGCGGAATCCAGTAAGACAGGAACGCCACCGTCTTGATCGAACGTGTAGGAGTCGAGGGTGGGCTGAATCATGACGAGCGAATTGCTCACGTCTTCGTGATTCAGCACGTGCCGATCGAAGGCCGTCTCGTCAGGAGAGTTGTTGAAAACCTGCAAAAATTGGCTTCGACGCAAGTGGAACATGAACTGGGGATAGAGTGTGAAGTTCTTCTCCAATCGGAAAGACGAAGGGTCATCCTTTCGATAGTCGGCAAATCGCGAGCAGAGGCGGATGAGCATCCTGTCTACCCATCGCAGCACGTCTGGGCCGTCATCGACTTCGGATTTGAAGACCGCTATCCTGGACATGAGGACTGCAGCTGCCTCTTGATCGAAGGACTGCGCGATCGCTGGGTCGCCGGCTGGACCGCTGAGATTTCGGGCCACCGTCGTCACGCGCAGGTGGAACTGACCCGAAGAGTGTTGGTAGTACGTCAGGAATTGCATCATACCTTTCTGAGGGGCTTGCTGGTGGGACACGGGCCCCTGGCTGGCGACCTCGAAATAGATGCCATAGCTGGCCTTCGGATCAATACCGCACATCTTCCAAGAGCACGTATTCCCGATGCCGCATTCCGTTTCACCAACCGAGACAGATTTTTTGTTGAGAGACACCGCGTGCCCGATGAGCCCGGTGACCTTGAGCTCCTTAGTAGTGAGTACTTCGAGCACGGCGTTGAACCCCATGAGAAGATTGTCGTCACCGTCCTTCTCAAACACTCGAATGAAGGACTGTCTGAACATGGAAGCTGTGAAGCTGTCGGTCAGGATCATGTGTCCGCCTGTCGAGTTGCAGAGGCCCTTCATCTCCAGGAGGCCAACCTGGTCCAGGCAGCCAGCGAATATGTCTATGACGTGGCCATTATGAGCTGTACGCTTCGCCAGGTTGTCATAAAACTACACCCAAGATCCGTCAGCCTCAAATTAATGTCAATGCCGCAAGGGTTGAGGGCTTACTTTCAACGCCTTCTTGTAATATTTCACATTATCTCGGTCGATGTCGTGATGGGAACGAATGGGCTCTCTGAGCTCGGGTCCTACAACCATGCCTGGACCTTCGGTAGCGGGGCCTCCGGCGAACAACATGATGCGGCCTCCGGCATTCTGGAAGGATGATTCCATTAGACCGACTGCCACACTCAGGGCCACACCGGTGCAACGCAGGCTGCGCCGGTCGTTGGCCGTGGGCCAAGGGTCCTTTTGAAGAGTCTCCAGTGCCTTGGTGAGCTGGAACTCAGCCTGCTGTACGGGCAGGAGAAATCGCGCTGCCGGGCCCATGGGCATCTGGCGTCCCGGTTGGGGCTGCATGCCTGGGCGCATGCCTGTGGACGTGAGGCCTAGCATCTCTTGAACCTGTTTGGCTGAGTAGTCCTTGCTTCCCCGGAAGACGTAGGACTTGGCACACCCCTCATAGCCAATCTCGTGTACTTGGGCCTATCTCGCCACGTTAGTCACGTATGTTCCAGTGCTAGTCGTTGACAGGGACGCGGCTCACCATCGTCCCAAAGGTAATGAGGCCAACGAGGGCGTTCTCTGGAAGCAGGCTCAAGCTCATGACAAGTGACTCTTTCAGAGACGCGAGAGCATCATCCTCCTGGCACAAATCGACGACATAGAGGAAAATCGGCGGTGCGGGAGCAGGTCGAGACAGTCGATACTCAATCGTGGTGTTGGCTGGATGGAGTTCGGGAGGGATAGCATTGGCCGTAATGTCTTTGTAGTGGGGGGGAAGCTGGTTCCTCGAGAGGCAGAAAGGGCAAATCCAGACCCGGGCGCGAACGTCGACTTGGCTGACGGCCTGTCAGCAACTCCCGTGGACCATGTCTGACAATCGATGTCCGCCGGCCACTCACCAGAAGGGATTCAGTACAGCTCGGCAAGGCTGCTTGCACGTTACAGGCTCGAACTGCAACAGCGGTGTATCTGGCTTCTCCTTCAAGGGCGTGTACAGGGCGCCAATGGGTACGACGAGTCTCGAGGCTTCCTTCATGGGTTTGCGTAGTCATTAGCATGGGTACAAGACTGACGATGATGTTACGGTCGGGGAACTCACCATGCGCGAGCTGGGGAATACGTTCCAGCTCAGGCGCACGCCATCACGGTCCTCCACTTCGCTCCACTGCTCCTTGAGTGCTTCGTAGTCCATTGTGTCGACTGTCGAGGGTGAGAAAGACGGGTACAGTATCTGGCGACGCCGGGGGGAAGCTGTGGCACGTTGACTGGTGGCTGGCCGGCAATGTTCGCGTCGTTGAGTTTCGGTGGCAGATGCGAGCGACAGAGGAGGTCGGATGTACCGCGTCTTAAGAGCTCCGATGCCGAAGTGCACGGGTGAGTCGCGCAATCGATGGAGGTGTCCGTGGACGCAAAGTCGAGGGACAGGGTGGCCAAGGCCAGGAGGTTTGGGATGGTGTGCGGAATGGTAGCAGAGATGCCTGCACCCTGGGGAAGCAAAGGACACTTTCCAGCTTGACCAAGGACCAGGTTCAAGCCACTGGCGAGCAGGTACGGGATACTTTCTGATCGCGCATAGCAAGCACGGGATCCAAGGTACTGGGTACTAGCAGATGTCCAGCTGCCACTGAGGTAAGGCGGTAGGTACTTGTCGGTAGCTCCACAGCGGATTTGAGCGTCAAAAATACTTGTCCAGTACCTAGATCGGCCAATCTGCACCCACCCGTTGCAGGCGCAATCCCTGTAGTACCTCGTACCTAGTAGGTAGGCGTTTCTGCTGGCTTTCTGATGTTTCGGTAGGTACCCAGATACCTGGTACCTGATCTCCTTGGTGCATGCGCCAGGTACCTGACCCAAAGTCTTGTCAACCGGCACCTCGACCTGCTCAGGAACAGGACGGATGGTGCCTGCGTAGTCCAGAGTCACGCAATTCACCGTAACACCGTCACTAGCTCCTTACAGTGCTTTCGTCTATGAAATATTACATCTATTGAAGTACTTGGGTCCTGCATCTGCCACCTTAATAAGTTATTATGGTAAGGTACCTAGTCCTCTGTATGAACTAGTACTCTACAAAATGTACCTCAGGACTGCAATCTAGACATGATAGCCCAGCACAGAGATAAAGTGGGACCTGGGCTCGACAAAAACACCAAAGAATAAGCTCCAAACTTCAAAGCGTCAACAACGTCTGCCACCTTATTGTCTTGGTCTGCTTTTCTAGTCGGATATAGATGCCGACAACTCATGGGAGACCTGTAGCGCTGGTATTCGGGTTGTGTCAAAGAAAGCAAATACAGGGCTGGTGGCTGCCCGGTTTTGAGGCCCCCCCAACCCTTTCCGCTCTCAGCCATGAGCTTCCCCCTCGCAGCCCGGCAACGCACGCTTTGGCGTAGCATCCCCGCGCCTGCTCGACAGATTCGAGCGGCCTCCCAGGGTTCAATCGCTGAAGCCGTGCGCCCTCTGGTCTACGACTTGCATGAACCATCTCGGCCTAAGACAGACAACCAGCGAGCCCCCATCATCTTCCTCCATGGTCTGTTTGGTTCCAAGAAGAATAACAGGGGCATCAGCAAGTACGCTCGAACGCCCGCACCTGGGATGGGACAGTCCATGAGAGTTTTACTTGTATCTAACAACGGCTATAGGGCTCTCGCTCGCGATCTGGGCCGATATGTGTACGCTCTAGTGAGTGTGCCTTCGCACCTGGGCCGATAGCCGACAGCTTCCAAGGTTGTACTCACAGAATCCAGGACCTCAGGAATCATGGCGAGTCACCTCAAAACCCCCGGCACGACTATCCAGCCATGGCCGAGGACGTGTCAGCATTCATCAAAGATCATGGCCTCACTGACACGACAATCATTGGACACTCCATGTACGACGCACCGGTCCCCTAGCTTGCCTCCCCTCCTCTCGTCCTCTACCACAGCCAGTTTACGAACATCTAATTGTTTAGGGGAGCAAAGACCGCCATGACGCTTGCCCTGCGTTCGCCCGACGCTGTTGCCAACATAGTTGCTGTCGACAATGCTCCTGTCGATGCTGCTCTTAGGAATGATTTCGCGCATTACATCCGGGGTATGGAGAAGATCCAATCGGCAGGCATCACACGGCAAGCTGAGGCGGACCAGATATTGCAGAAATACGAGGAGGTACGCTCGCCGACAGGACCGGGGAATATATTACTGGTTCAAAGACAAAACAGAGGCCCTCGCTGACGTGTGTTGCAGTCGCTGCCAATCCGCCAGTTCCTGCTGGGGAACCTTTATCGCCCGCCGGGGGGGCAATTTCAGCAGTTCCGCATCCCACTCGACATTCTCGCACGTTCACTGGGCCACCTAGGTGATTTCCCCTACAAGGATCCGGGCGAGCGTCGATTCCAGAAGCCCGCCCTGTTTGTTCGCGGCACGAAGAGCACGTATGTGCCGGATGACGTGCTGCCCGCGATTGGGCAGTTCTTCCCTCTATTCCGGGTAGCAGATATCGATGCTGGCCACTGGCTGATTTCGGAACAACCTGAGGCTTTTCGACAAGGTATGTAGCACTCGACCCCGCAAATTCCCGGATGTTGAGAGACTGACTGCATGAAACGAAAGCCGTGGTTGACTTTTTGCGCGACGTTGAATAGCCATTGCTCAGCCATTTCCGAATTAGATGTACAAACAAGCCCAAAAAGACGTATCAGCGTACACCTTGGCAATTCACAACATCTGGCTTTGGAATTTGAGCGTGTGCCGGGAGAGTTTAGATAGCTGGGCGTAAGATCGACGTAGGTAGCCCGTGAGGAGTACATTTTAGGAGCAGCAGCTCTGGCATTGGCGCACCCGGGTCAGGACCTGGCTTCCAACACTGCCGAAGTGCGCCCATCTATACATGTGTGGATTCATTCCAGAAGACGGCTGATCAACTGGGGTCGCCGGGGCGAAGTTCGCATTGACGTGCATCGATACTGGGACAGGCGCCGGAGGGGTTATCGTTGCCTCAGGAGTGTCTGCAGCAACCCGTACCAATCTGCAAACCGAGTCACAGGCACAGCGAAATGGAGCAGTGTAGAACCCTTTTTTGCCATTTCATGGGGACATTACCGTAGCCCCCAACCGCCTTAGATGCTACGCCATTTGCGATGACCGAAACAATGCCAAGGATGAGTGTATCACCCGCGAGGGTCCCTGTTCCCCCGCGCCTGTTCACAGAAAGCGCCCTTTAAACCTGCTCCAAGACTCGCTCCTTGAACTCTCTCTCAACCTTCTGGCCCTGGTCATCCGTCCCCGACTCTCCATGAAGCGCCATCAGGGCACCGAGGTCGAACTTGGGTGCCTTGAGCAGCTTGACCTTTCGGATGTGCACCTATCGTGAATGTATCAGCCCCGGTTCTGGAGAAAGGATTGCCGCTGGTTTTATTTGTTGCAGGGGGCTCAAGATGCCGGCTTACATTCTGCAGAGGGTAGATGCCCTGGGTCGACTTCTCAATCTCGCGGCCGATGACCTCGGGGATGAGCTTGGAGGTGAGCTGGGTGAGGGTGCAGCTGGACGCCTCGCGCTGGATGATGTCGGTCATCTTGCGCCGGATAGCCCGGATCTGCGAAGACGCCGCGTACGTTGTCTTCTTGATCTGATTGGGTCGCCGCTTGGTGAAGGCAATGGCGAAGAGACGAATGAGGTAGTCATCGGTGGTCTTGACGGTGACGTTGGCCTCAATCAGGGTCTGCCACTTGCGCACAAGAGATCGCAGCTTGTCGGAGGTGAAATCGAGCCCGTGGAAGTTGGTGAGGCAGTTCTTGCCCTGCACCTCATCCACGCGAAGGCGGACCTTGCGGAACGCGTGGTCCTCATCCTTCTGCAGATCGGCCAACGAGACCTCGACGATGCGGCCCTTGAGGGCGTCGTTCGCGTTCTTCAGACCGGTGGTACGGTTGACGAGAGTCTTGCCGACACTGGATTTCAGCATTAGCGAGCCGTCTGGTTACTCGAGGGGGGATTAACCGTCGCCAGGTTTGCCAGCGCCGTGATCGGTCGGGATTCGTTCGGATGCACTCACTCTCGCACATTGAAGGGGCTGGGAGCCTGCAAGGAGTGTCTGTAAGCACATGCTGGGAATGCGAGTGGGAAACGTCGCGGTTTTTCTTGAGCGGCGCACCTTGATCGAGTACCAGTCCTTGCGGGAGAAGGGGTCGACGGTCTTCTTCTTGAGACCCTTCTTGCCCTTGGAGAGCCTCTTGTTCCTATAGCTGGTCAGCCTCCGATGTAGGTTTGTTCGTTGCTGCGAAACAACTCACTTTCCAACAGCCATGATTGCTGGCCAACTTGATGATCAGTTGGAGAATCAAAGGTGCCAGAAGTATGGGTGGTGGAGGGGCGAGAATAATTTCAATTCTTGTGTGCAGCGACTAGGTCTAAGCGAGCCCAGTGTGAAAAAAACACGGGCCATCTATTTTCCCGGGTCCACAACAACTCCAGATTTGCCTGGGGACTTGCCATGCATCACGTGATCAAGGCACTATTTCAGCCACAAGCCACTCCAGTGAACAATCCTGGCGCCACACGGGGAGGATGGGTGGCGACACACACGAATTTCCCGAAGCTTCATCATGCAAGGAACAGCCTGCGCAGTGGCACCCACAACCTTGTCGCAACAGCGTGCGCATTGCGCTTGCCAATTCTCCAGCCCATCCAATGTACGAGACGCCTCTCATTGTTGACCTTCGTCTGGGAAGCAAAACCCAGCCGCGACGAGAACACAACTGCGCCGGTTGCCTGCTTGTGGGACGACATCACGCCTAATGCGCGCCTCGAGACTGTTCACTCTAACGATGGACCGCGCTGTGTATTTGCCGAGTGCTTGCTCGTTCTCCTGTCAATTGGCACGCCAATGGACACCTAGGTACCTAGTAGGTAGTTCGTCGCTCGTAGAGCACCAGAAGGATGGAAAAAGATGATCGCTCGATGGATTACCCTCCCCTCTTCGTCGGTTACCTTACATGCCACCTGTCCTGCCTTTCGCTGTTCTTCCACTGACAACGGTGCCGGTGCCTTGCCCACTGAATGAGAAAGAGACGGCGGAGGTCCTTCGCGCTCACACGCGAAAATGCTTTCTGAGCTTTGTTACCCTCACGGGGTGCAAGCTAATCCAAGGCGTGTCTCCTGAACCGGTCGCGACGTGTTCGATCGGGCCGAGCCCTCAGAAAACAATTCGGAGTGTGGGCGCAATCTTGCCTCAATGCTTTGTCGCTCAACTACCTTGTATCGGCGCCATCGTGCCATGCCGCTTTGAACCGCTACATCGCCCGAGCTCTCTCGAGACGCCGTCGATGCTGCTATCCAACTGCCACTACTCCTCTGTGACAGCCTGGGCAGCCACCGAACGGCCGGGCCGGCGATGTGACGTCAGAAACACCTCTCTCTCTGCCTATCCTCGCTCAGTTGGGCTCATCTTTCGCGCTACGGGGCTCTGGCACGGCCCACTGATCGAAGTTGGGAAAACTGAAGTAACAATCTAGCAGCTCAAGTTAGATGTTAGAATTCTGATGCCATCTCCGCCCCCAAATACCATCACGCCACCTGCCTGATTGAGACTCGTCTAGCAAGTCATGAATACCATATTTGCCAGCATGTGCGACAGTGTGGAGCTGCTCCCGGCGAGGGACCGTTACTGGGGCCGGCTGTCGTAGTCGCTCGGACGAGCCGTTCGACCCGATGACCTGCCTCGCGACAGGGTAGATCCAGGCCTTGCTGAGCATCTCGGCTGCCTTCTCGGGGGAAGCTGGGTTGACAAGCGAACCGCGAAGGGCATTGTGTGTTGTGATTGACGGCTCGGTAATGCTTGACCGGAGCAGCCTTGGCCGTCTCGGCCCGGTCGCCGCGATACAGTCCCCGTGGTCAAGGTTTAGCTGAGCGCCAGCCGAAACCCCTCGAGGCAAAGATGCCATCATACCATGGGACAAATACATTGCCTTGTGCCCACGCTTTGTTTATACCTGTCGCAGCCAGTCGGAGCAGCATGTGCGTCCCACACACCGCGTCGCAAGTCAGGAAAACGTAGCTCTCGAGGCATCACAACGTTGCCCGTTGGGGTGGATTTCAGGCTTCAAATACTCGGGATCAATCGACTCCGTGCAAGACGTCGCCGGAGTCGGGTATCGAGGACCGTGCCACTTGTCGTGCCAGTGCCAAGTTGGGTGCCAACATTCACTTGCAGCCAATTGATGTTCCCAGGGGTGATGTAGGTTGAGCCAGTGGCATTTGCCGGCTGAGCGCTGCCAACTCGTCAACAAGGGTCGGTGCTGCCCAACGACAGGGGTGACAAGCCCCAACGTTGAAACAACCTGCATGCTCATTGCTTACCGACACTCGGTTTCCGTCGTAGCGCATCCAGGCCACCGACACCTCAGCATGCGAATATGCCATCGATAAGGCTCGGACATGTGACATAATAGTTCCAATACTACTGTGAGTCTGTAGGACCAGCCCCCCACCCCTTGCGGGTTTGTGACATTCTTTTCTCGGCTGCGACGTCGGGAGGCCCCTGGTACGGGCGGCCAGTGGGTCATCGCTGCGTCAAATCAACAGCAGATACGAAGTAGATCACAAGCCTTCCTAGCTTCAAACTCTAGGTGTGCGTGAGCCTCCGTAGTACGCACCAGAAGACTCTGGCCTGACTTCTGCAACCATCCCCATGCAGATGCCCGCCAGCAGAATCCTCGTCTCATCCAGGCCGCCACTCGGTGTGCAGCTCAGTGATCGATACTTAGAGGTCGTGTTAGCGGCGGGGTCGCTGGTCATGAGTTTCGGTTCTTGAGCAGGGGCCGCTTACTCCTCCCACATTCGTCCCTGCACTGACTGCAGCTCCTCTGCCGTGAGGCGCTTCCCAGCAGTGAAGTAGCCTAGCGCTGTTCAGTATAATGACCGTGGGTAACGAGGCGCCGTCAATCTTACCGGCAGTGATCTTCGCATCGATTTCAACTCTCGAGTCCGCTGGGATGAGCTCATCCGGCAACTCGACCCTCTCGTGGATTGGAATGCTGCAATTGTCAGACGCGCATATCGGGGCCGACGCTTCCACTCACCCTTGGCCGACGATTGCATCGTGCTTCATGCTATTGCGCCGTCAACGCCTGACACACACGCTGCAGAAGTGCTTGAAAACTAACTTGCTCATGCTCAACATCCTGTCAATCTTTTGAATGCCAAGCCAATGAAGGATGTCTGGCATCAAGGCTTGAAAGCGCATGTCCTTGACACCGGCGATGTTTTCCGTCCTCGTGAAATAGTCTGACGCTCGATCCGCGCCTCGTTTTCGTGCATTGTAGACGACTACCGCAGGTTAGCATTGCTGCGTACCTCATTGCGTTCGAATTCACTTCTCGGGCGGTCGTACGGTACTGTGGCCTAGGTTAGCACTCTTGGACTGCCGGACATTACGCGGAACAAGTCTTGGTGTCAGGAGGAAGGGCTTGCGAGGAGGATTCCGCTTGGCCATTCGGGCACAGTACCTTGGTGACTTCGCCCAGAGCCCTGCCCTCCTTCCTGAAATAAATAACGACGCCGCTCCCGCCATTTTGCGCCTCCTTGACAGCCTCTTCGATGCCGAAGATGAGGTAGGGCCTGCATGTGCAGATATCGGAACCAAATACGTCACTGCCGTTACACTGCGGATGGGGTGTCAACAACAGATCAGCGTCCGTGCAAGACAAGCAGCCAGACCGACCTCGTCATGAATGCGGAGAGACAGCCGAGCAGATGGGTCAGACATTTTGGCAGGATCTCCAAAACAATACACCGTCAAGCCACCTGCACATAGTCAGTCGCTGGTACGCCCACTCTACCCTCACCGCGTAAAAGGGTTACGTGCCAATGGGGGGCAAAAAGATCTTGATGTCGCCGCGAGTAATCAGCTGGTTTTCCCCCTCCGTCAGCTTGGTGCAACCGAGGCAGGCAACCCAGTCTGAAGTACCTCGGGATAACTACCGCCGGTATGTTCAAAGAGAGAACGTCGCAGCGTGCCCTCATCTGGGATACTGTCAGGAGAAGCCAGAGTGGCGGGTGCCTCAAGCAAACCCACCAATGCCAAATCTTTCTGCAACCCCAGGAAGATACCAAACCTGGGAGACTCTTAGCAAGTCACCGTAGGCCCTCACAAGGCGACCAGCCTTACTGGTTCGACGGCAAATTTTGTCACTGCAAGCTCGCCAAGCTTGTTCAGACAGACCTTGCCATCAGGGACCCTGCCAGACGTTAGCCAGAGGCTCAGTTTCCAGACATCACCATGCGGGATCCAGACAGTCTTCCGCGCTTCACACTTTCTTCTAATTCGGGCAGCTGACATGTCTGTCAGTACTTCCAGCGCTTTCAGGATATGGGAAAATTTTGACCTTCATATGAGCCTTGGTGATGGCGATTGTTGGGCGCAGATCAACTGAATCCATGATGAGTCACAAAGAATTCTGGAAGAGTCCTGGACAGGGACGGCAACCTTTTTCCCGCTCAATGATGTCAGCAAAAGTCCAAGGGGCCAGGTGACCCCAGGGATCCATGGCAACGATCTTGCGCCGGTCGCCCCATTGTGGAAATGGCCCAATTCGGGTGGCCGGTTCGGTGTTCGTAAAGTCGGGCCTACACGCACGCCACTTAAGCGTTGATCACCCGAGAAGGCCTAGAGACCGGACTGACCTGTGGTCTACGTCCAACTCCTTGCTTGCCACTGCAAGCGCGTAGTAAATGGAGTACGAGCCGCCGCTGGAGGCACGCAGCGAGTCAGCTCTCGATCCCATCGCCTCGTAGGTCAAAGTTCTTACTGGGCTGCGTGGCGATGCCTGGTTAGCACTGGCAGAGGATGAGATGCTTGGGTAGGACTGCTCACCTCCAATGGCTGATGTTAGATGGGTGCCTGGGTCAGCCTGTCTGAAGTCATACGCCCCTTAAAGTGTCGGCTTGAACAAACCGTTTCGGCGTCTTATGGTAGAGGGCGATCTAGCTACCGCAACCGGACCACGCTTCATAGGATCAGGGTTGCCCCAGTCCATCGGGAGGGGGTCAATGCCAATCTGCTTGGGATATGTGCTGCGCGTATGTGTCAGTAGATGGTTCTTGCTACATAGCCTGGGCCAAACACACGTGAGAATGATCCGAGATGTAAAGCCCGACCGCGGAGGGGCCGCTTTCACAACCGGTGAGTCTTCTGCGACACCATCCGGTGAGTTATCGGTCAAGCTCGACTGTCCTTCGACACCCGTGGCGTCCGGGGCCTGAGCAATAGAAGAAGCGCCCGAAAATTTGGCATCCGAAGCAACGGGTCCAGGTGGAGCGGAGGCGGCAGGATCGCCAGACTCGAGCCTCTCGGACAAAGATTCAATGGCAGCCGCTAGTTGCGACTGTCCCCGGCGGATATCGCGCAAGGCGCTGATGATATCAGAGCTTGAAGCGTGCCCTTCCATGTTGGACTACCGGCTCGAAGCTTCGCAGGGGACCGGGGGTGTGGCTTGTTCAAGATCAGCAGCAGATCTGAAGACCTACCTGAAGTATGGCGTTAGCAGGGAGGATGCGATACTTGGTTGGTAGCTTGTGGACTTGGCAACTCGGGCGTGAAGAGGCGACTGGAAGGAGTGCGGCAGGATCAGGAACTGATGGGTTACGGGGAGAAACGAGCAGGGCAGCGTGAATGCAGCGATGGAAGGTGAAGGGACGGGCGGCGGGGCCTGGGTGAGCGTCGGCAGTCGGCAGCACGGGCAGGTGAGCTCCCTGAGCAGCCTGAGGTCAGGTTGGGGTGCGGTCGGACCGGTACATGAATGGAAGCTGATCCCATGACTGCCTCAGAGCCATCGAATCCTGGCGGGTACCTCACGGCACCGTACAGAATACCTCTGGTACCTGAGGTACCTCGCCAGATAGCACGAGACAGCCAGGGCCCCCTCATGGTTTCCATCCTTCCAAGTTCCATTGCCAGGCATTGGCAGGCAGAGGCTTGCGCAAGGTGACGGGACACACCTAGGTTCCTTTAGTACTGCTTAGCCGGGTTTAGAGGGGTACCCTCTGTAAGACAGGGGAGTCCCGGAGCTCCTGACAACGATAAGACAAGCCACCTCGGCCGGCGCGGTGCCCGAGTGCCCAGGTGCTCCTCTGGGAACTTGGGCACCACCCCGACAACCGGTGCGGGGTCCTGCGTCCATGTCCAGGTGCATTCCATTGGAGAGAAGCGGAAAGATTGCACAGCGCACCCCGTACGTGTTACCTCCACTGCAAACCTGTTGCACAGACCTCGTGCGCTTCGTGTGTCTGCAAAGCAAGGCACAAAGCACGCGAGAAGGCCTGGGAAATGGCCTTGGACCACTGTCATCGCCTGCAAAGGCCAATCGAAGCAAGGCACGAGTTCCTAGTGGTAGGGCCCAATGCACATCCCATGTGGCCCCGAGTTTGTGAGCGAGGCTCGAAACGTCGCTCCCGTTACCGGCCGGCACCTCGAGATAACGTTAGTACGAGGTAGCTAGGTATGGCGTCGGTGCCATTCAATGGTGCTTCGCGCTTGCCCACCTGCAATCTGATCGCCGTGCCGTGGGTGCGGGGAATCAGCCCCGCCCCATCTCGGTGCGGGATGGGCGGGGGCCCTACTTCGGTATCACGGCATGGATCCATGGATGGCTTCCAAGGGCCCCTGCCTGCTCCATCCTGCCTGCCTGCCAGCAGGGACCAGCCAGGCTTGCTCGGCAGCATCTTGGGCGCGGCGAAGCTGAGGGCGCCTCGCTACCTTAGGTAAGGTACCTGCTCGGCCTGGCGAGGTCGCCTTATCTGCCCGGCCCAGTACCCGCAGCTCGACGAAAGTACTGGGTGCTGGGTCCAGCCACCTAATGCTACCTATGTGCTCCCCGAGGGGTGCGTACGTCTTTACCTCTACCTGGTACTGTGCGAAGTACCTCAAGGTGCGACCTGCCCCGTTCCCTGCTCCTATGAGCCATTCGCGCCAAGCGCCGGGCAACGGCTTCACTTCGCAGCAACACAGATGGAGATTGCATCATCGCACACACCAACCCCGGAGGAATTCTTGTTACCCTTTTTTGAAGACACGTACACCTATTGCCCACAGCCCTGCGCAAGAGCCCAAGTACTGCCTCCTACTTAGTACCTCAGGTAGGCACCAAGGCTAAAGTGGTTACCTCCAGCTTGCACAAGCCTCCCCACAGCGATGGACAGTAAGGGGCTAGTTCACCTTATCGATAACNCCCTTTTTTCCCCACACACCCCTTGCTGCTGGCATGCTCAGCACGCCATGGTTCAGTCGCAGAATTTCTGACGTCGCCTTCGACGACATCACGCAGACCCTCCATGGTGTTCACGGCTGCCGCACGAACAATCCTCTGCAACCCCGGCGCGTTCGTTTGGCAGCATGGGGAAGCGCAAGAAGTCGTCGAGGAAGCCCATGGGGCCCAAAAAGGCACGTCGCTCGCTTTAGCCATCTCGATTGCAAACGGCGCAGGGCTAACGCATTCATGACCAGTCCGACCCTCTGCCAACCACATTCACATGCCTCTTCTGCAATCACGAGAAGTCGGTTACCGTCAAGCTCGATAGGAAAGCCGGTATCGGGCAGCTTGATTGCCGGGTTTGTGGACAAAAGTTCCAATGCGCCGTCAACTGTATGCCCCGACTTTTGGTAACGATCCGGTCCACGAACTGCTCGCGTGCCCTGTCTACACTGCACCTTCGCCCTGTTTGCGGATTCGGTACTTTCCTTCGTCGCCCACTGACAGCTTAAAACAGACCTGTCCGCCGCCGTCGATGTTTATGGGGAGTGGGTTGATGCTGCCGGTGAGTCCACCTCGTATGCCCCGTGTGTTTTCGACAAATTCCACAACTTCAGACACGATGACTGATGATGCGTTATAACAGATGCAGTTGCCAAGGAAAACACGGCGGAATCGGGCTACGGAGGGACCGCCAGACCATCAGCGAGAGACGGCCGAGGAGCCGAGCCCTCCGCGGCTCGCGACGACGATGACGATGACGAAAGGCGCTACGAAGGCGATGGCATTGTGGCGGATGATGAGTACTGAGCAACGTTTGCTTCGCAAGAGCTTCGTTTCTGTACCAGGTCGGCGGCCGCAGGACAATAGCGCATGGCTCCGTCCCACTACGCGAGCGGCAGTGTCGAGCTCAAGGCGATCCTTAGATGGTGTAGAACCTATCGCCAAAGTCGCCCAGGCCAGGGACTATGTAGCTGCTACGTCGTTAGCCCAGGATTGTTCACGTCGGATATTGCATCTCACTTCTTTTCATCAAGGCCCTGTGAAGTCCGTTAGCGACACAGCAATAACAAACACCGAGCGGCCGAGGCTGTTACAAACCTCGTCAATGAAGGCGGTGACAACTTTGAGCCGAGGAAATTTCGTGGCGAAATTTCCCACTCCTTCAGGGCTCGCGATCAAGTTGAGAAACAGGATGCGGTCCTCTGGCACACCTCGTGCCTTCAATACCTCAACAGCCATGATGGCCGAGCCACCTATTCGTGCGACACTGTCAGCTGTGCAACCCTGCTCACTGACAACGCCCTCGAGCCCCCGACCATCCGGTCCTTCGCCTGAACCGTAGTGGACAAGGGGAGGTCATTCTGGCGTGCCAGTAAGACTAACCTGTCGCAAACATTGGGTCGAGTAGAAGCACCCATCGTTCCGCGATGTCCTCCGGGAGTTTGTCGTAGAAGAGTTTAGGCTGCGCCGTGTCCTCATCCCTCTGGATGAGAATCTTGCCGATACGGACGGACCGACAACAGTCTCGAAGACCCTGCTCCATTGCCTCTCCAGCTCTCATGATAGACACGCCGCAGATTTTCCCCTGGAACATAAGTCCATTGTACGTGCGTCCAACGGGGGTTGTGATGTCATGCTCGATGACGGGAAGGTGATTCAGGCCTTCCTCGACAAGGAGACGGATAATGCGATTTGAGTAAAAGATAAAGTCTGCCCTGTCCGTATCCTTATTTCGAATCATCCTGTTGGCGGCAGGATTGGCTCAGTTCATGTTCTCTTCCCATGGAGGTTATAGTGCAGGGTGTGAGAAAGCACCGGTTGCTGTGTCTGATAGATGCAAGACAAGCCGGCCTAAGATAGCATCATAAAGAACTGCAACTTACGACAGAAGGGCAATGAGCTGCGGTGTCTGCGATAAGACGTGTACGTTATCGAATGGCACCTTAGCGGACACAGTAGCACTAGGCTTCTGTTCCTGCGATAGGTGGCTGGGGCCGACACACTCTTTCGGAGCCGTCGCCATCTCGAGTTGATCTTTAATGCTGCAAGTGAAATGTAGAGTCCCGTGGACTCTTATCCACTCGCTGGCGAGGGGAGCCACTCGATATACGGGGTCCTGTGTATATTATATAATCACCGCCCGCGCATTAATAAAACTACGTATTAATAGTAGATTATATACTAGGTTATTTACCTTATAGGAATTAATATATTACTTTAAAATATTTTATTTAATAAAAAGTATTAATAATATTATTATTAATCTTTAATAAGCTTAAATAAAGTATTTAAATATAAGAATTTATTAAAAAATCTTTAATTCTTTTTAAAATAAAACTTAATTTTATTAATAATATTATAAAATAATAATAAAATAAAATAAAGTAATTAATTTTAAAAAAATATATTATAAATTTAATATTAAAATTTAATAAAATTAAATAAATTAAATAATAAATATTAAAATAAAATATAATTATATATAAATATTATATATTAAAAAGTTTAAAATAAAATTTATAAATTAATTTATTTTATATTATTTAAATTTTAAAATATTTAAATAATAATATATTAAATAATTTTATATATATTTAAATAATTATTTAATTTTTATAATTAAATTAAATTTAATAATTATAATAATTTAAATTAAATTTAAAAATATAAATAAATATTATTATATAATTTAATATTTATAATTATATTATATTATTATTATATAATTAAAAAAAGATTATATAATAAATAAAATAATATTAAAAAGTATTTTATAATATAATTCTTATTTTTATTAATAAAGATTTTATAATTATTTTAATTAAAATTTTAATAATTATTATTAAAGAATAATTAAATTATATTTTTTTAATTTTAAAAAAATATTAAAAATTTATATTAATATTATAATAATATATCTTTTTAATTAAATTAAGCTTTAAATATATTATTATAATTTTTAAACTTTATAAATACTTTAATTATATTATATTAATATTTTTAATTTATATAATATAATTAATATATAATTATATAAATTATATATAAATATATTATTATAAATATATATTTTATATATATATATATATATTATAATTATTTATTTAAAAAATAATTTTTTTAAATATAATAAAAAAATTTATAAAATATTTAATATATATTTATTTCTATTTATATTAAATAAATATTTAATTAAAAGTTTTATTTTAATAAATAATTTATAAAATTAATTTTAATTATTTTAATTAAATTTAAAGTTTTTAATTTTATATAAAAATTAAATAATTTATATAATTAATCTTAATTATTTTAATTAAATTTAAAGTTTTTAATTTTATATAAAATTAATTAAATTATATAAAGCTATATTTAATTATATTTTTATATTAAATTAAATTAAATAATTATATTTAATTATATTAAATTTAATTTTTTTAATTATAAAAATTAATATTAAATTAATATTAAAATTATTAAATTAAAATTTTAATTTATTTAATTATATAAAAAATTTCTTTATTTTAATATAAAGAAAATAAATAATTAAATAATTTAATATTAATACTTTTTATTTTATTTTTTAAGAAATAAAATAATTATATTTTATATAAAAATTTATATATTTTTTTATATATTTAATAAAGCTATTTTAAAAGGTATTATATAATTTATTATAATTAAGCTATTTTTAATTAATTTTTTAATTAATAATTAATAATTAAATTAATTAATATTAATATTTATAAAGTTAATTAATTAATTATAAATTAGCTCTTAAAAATATTTTAATTAATTAATTATTAAATTATAACTTTAAATATAGCTTATATTAAAAGAATAAAGTATTATTATTTATAAAGCTATATTTTATTATTTTTAAAGTAATTTTATTATTTACTTTACTTTCTTTAATATTAATTTATATTATTAAATTTTTTATATAAAGAATTATTATTTATTTATATATATATCCTTTTATTTAATTATATTATATATAATATATAAGTTATTTATTAAGCTATTATAATATATAATTTATAGCTTTAATAATTATAATACCTTTAATAATTATAATTATTATATAACTTATAATATTATTAATTATTATTATAGCTTAATAGCTTATAATATTATTTATTATTATTATAGCTTTATAGCTTATAATATTATTATAATAAGGTCTAAAAAGAAATAATAAAATAATATTTTATATTTACTTTAGACTTTATTAATAATTTTTTAAATAATTATTACTTTATAAATATATAAAATATTAATATAATAAAAATATTATAATAAAGCTTAAATTTTATAAATATATATTATTTATTTTATAATAATAATATAATAATCTATTAATAATTTTTTAATATTCGTAAATATAATATTTTAATTTAATAAAAAGGTATATTATTATTAATAATATTATTTTTCTTTATATTTTATTAATATATATTTAATATAATATTTTTTATATATAAATTAAACTTTAATAAGCTATATATTTATTTTATTTATAGTATAAATAATCTATTAAAAGATTAAAAATAAATATTATATAAAAAAATATTTCTAAAAAGATTTATTTTATTTATATAATAATAAATTTATTACTTATTTAAAATTATTTTATAATTTATATAGATATTTAATATATTTAAATAAATATTATATTAAATATAAAAGTTATTTTTTTATTTATATAATATTAAGTTATAAATATTATTATTAATAGTCTTTTATATATTATATTATATTATATAATATATAGACTTTAATATTTATTATTATTTTTACTATAATTAATATAATAAAAGACTCTTTATATATATAATTATTAAGTAAAATAATATAATAATAAAATCTTCTAAATATTTCTTAAGAAATATACTTTTTATTTAATTATTAAAAAGTAAAGGTATTTATTTTAGGATATATAATACTTACTATAAAACTTAGAATTTTAAGCTATATATAACTTAAAATAATTTTTTAAAATATAATATAATTAATTAATTAATAATATATTAAAAATAATTTAGATTATATTTTTATTAATAATATAATAAGAGTTATTATATTTTAAACTCTTTAATATTAAATTAAGTTAATAAAGTAAGTTATTCTTATCATTTTTAAATAAGACTTATTATAATTATTATTATAACTTAATAGCCTATTCTTAGTTTATATTAAAATATTTAATATATAGCTATATAGACTATATAGGAAGACATAAAAAATATTTTCCTATATAATATATATAAATATATTATATAATATATTTTATAAATATATATATATATATTATATAGCTATTTATTTAGAAAACATTACTTTTAGGTATAATAAGAAAGTCTATAAGAGCCTCTTATATTACTAAAATATAATATATAGCTAATATATAGCTATATAGGCTATATAGAAATAGATAAAAAATATATTACTATAAAGTCTATATAGATAAATATTTATTTAATATATACCGATTTTTATATATATTAAGTAAATATTTATCTAGAAACTTTATTATAGCGGATAGTCTATTAGACCGGCGGGCAGGCTATTATACCGCCGGAAAGTCTATTAGACCGATTTTTATTATTTTCGGCTAGACTTAGGGTCTTTAGTTTAATATAAGGTTAGCCACGCTATATAGAGCTATATTTAGCTATATTTAGCTATAGCCACGCTAAATTAAGCTAAATATAGCTAAATTTAGCTATAGCTACGCTAAATATAGCTAAGTTTAGCTATAGCTACGCTAAATAGAGCTAAATTTAGCTCTTTTTAGCTATAGAGGCTAGTATTAAACCGACGGAGAGACTATTAGACCGAAAGCCGGGTCTTCTTAATTATATAGAGTAGTCCTATTTTTACATACGCATTTCTCTATTTTTATATACGTCATATAGCTAAAACCGGGCTATAGTGCCATACTATTAGGCTCGCAGCCTATAGCCCGCAGCCCGCAATAGCCTTAATTACGCTATAGCCCGTATAGCCTATATAGCCCGCGATGCCTTCAATTAATGCAGCAGCCCGTAGCCACGATGCCTTTAACTACCCGCTATAGCCCGTAGCCGCGATATATTTAACTGCCCGCTATAGCCCGCGATAACCTCAATTATCTACTATAGCCCGGCAGCCCGCGATACCTTTAATTACTGCAGTAGCCCGGCAGCCCGCGATGCCTTTAATTATTATAGTAGCGATATAGCCCGGTAGCCCGCGATGCCTTTAATTGCCTGCAGTAGCCCGTATAGCCCGCGATGCCTTTAATTGCTTGCTATAGCCCGTATAGCCTTATAGCCTATAGCCCGATAGCGTGCGGAAGCAATAGAAATAGCACTATAGCCCCGCGCGGCGCCTACTATAATAGGGGTTCTTAGTGGCTATAGGGGGCCTTTATAGTAGAGATATATGAAAATAGAGAAATGCGTATATGAAAATAGGACTACTTATTATATATAGGACCTTTCCCTCTTAGTCTAGAGAGGATAGAAGATTAAGCAATTTAATACCTTTATTATCTCTTCTATCTTATTTTATTATTACCCTTCTTATCTCTTATATCCCTATTTCCCTCTTCTCTCTATCTTCTACTGCCTTTATCCCTCCTTCTTATAATATTATTAACTTATCCTCTATAGAGAGATATCGTAATAGCTATAGGTTAGTATTTTCCTCGAGCTAGCGATATAGCTTATCGAAAGTCCCCTTTAATATATAAAAGAGGTA